CATCATGAGGCACCATCAACTTGGCGATCAAAGCAAAGCATCTTGGGTATCTCGGAGGATCCTACCCGTGCGTAACCGAGCCGGACATCCTGTAAACCCCAGGCCTTGTCCCCTATATAAGGCAAGGCTAGGGTTAGACTATAGATCATCTAATCTCTCACACACCTATGTGATCCTAGCGATCTCCATTGTACACCATATTCAAGCTCTCGCATGAGGCTCACCACCATAAATATAATCATAGTAGTAGGGTTTTACCTCCACCGTGAGGGCCTGAACCTGGGTAATTGCCTTGTGTGAATCCCGTCTGGTCTTCTTGCTACACGTGACATCCCATTGAGATTAGTACCGGTATAATGAACCAACGGTTGGCACGCCTAGCATGGGCCAAAGATTAAATCCATCTGGGGTCCCGTGTTGTCGCCAGTGACTACATTTCGAGCCAAACTTTTACTTTTGGTGCCCTTGTCGCCAGCGCGGCGGTGTGCCTTGCCCTCACCAGCATCCTATCTAAGGGCGAGATTCTCACCTTTGGGAGCCTGGAATTCATTACCGTTCATTTCAGTGGAACCTGTCTTGAAAACCTGGCACCTCGGCGAGTAGAGCGAGCATCCAGGCAACCCCTGGGATCTCCAACAACAAGCAACAATCCACTAGGCTGAGTAGGCTTCCTAGCTCGTCGCAATGGTGGAATCGCTTGTCCCCATCTGGAATGAATCCAAGTCCGATGGGGCATGCGAGCACGGACAGCTGCTCTATGGCAGAGGTCCTCATGGCGAACACCAAAACTCTGCAACCGGCAACAGAGCCAGACCGCCAGCATCGACAACAACGTCGACGTTAAGGACGAGGCCGACCCTGAGGCGGCGGCAGCCGAGCAACTAGCTTTGCATACCCTGATCCTTAGCATCACCAATACCGCTGCAAACAATCGACAACTGAGCCGCGACCGCCAGCACCGGCAACAACGTTGACGTTGAGGATGAGGCCAACCTCAAGGCGACGACATCCGAGCAACTAGCTTTGCATACGCCAATCCCCGACGAGGATGTGACCGTGAAGGCCTTGGAAGCTCAACACAAGGCCCTTGCGCAGCCACAACTCCACCTTTAGAAGGAGCGCGACTCCCTTGCAGCTAGACATGACAGGTGGGCAACCGCCATAGAGATCAATCGAAGCCGGTGACCAACCTCGTAGCCGTGGCTCCGACCGACAACATCGAGCTCAAGCTAGATCACCCGGCGGCTAAGCAGTTCAATCGCGCTAAGCCATGATCAAGGCGATGATTGTGGAACATGGCGCGACTAGTCAATCGTGCAACCAGTTGGTAACCACCTCTCAGGTGTGCACTGACACCAACGTGGTTGGATATTCATGTCCTAGTCGCATTCCAAGCCACCAAATTGACTGCGCTAGGCCGGCGATTCGGCCTTGAGGATCGTGTGGAGGCCTCGAGGCTTGCATTGCTTCGGGCAGAAGCCGACCGTCGCCCTCGCCGGCCTCGCGTGGTCTATGACCGGCTTGGGAACCAGTCGGCCGTGCAAGAGACATCCGAGCTCTCCGTGACTCCAAAGCGTCCTAGTACAGAAGGGATACAAGGTCCTCAACCCGGCTCGCTCGTAGCCGCATTCATCAGCTCGCCATGCTTCAGCTATAAGGTCCTAGAGCACCGCGTACCAAAAAAATTCTGGGTGCGGAATATCAACAAGTACATTGGCGTTGCCAAGACGTATCATTGGCTGGCCAACTACCTCATCATTGTCAACATGATCGGGGGCGATGAGTTAAACGCGCTTAGCTGCGACGACCTACCACCCAACTCGGTCTACCAGTGGCAGGACTTCGAGGATGCATTCATGGCCAACTTCGAGGGCACTGACCAGAAGCCGGGCGACGCCTATACCTTGGTAAGTGCATCTCGGAAGCAAACGAAGGCGATCCATCAGTGCTTATCGCGGTGGCTCAAGAAAAGCAGCTCTCTCAAAGAAGATCTCATGAGCAGAGCATCCAAGCTTTCTAGCTCGGAGTGCAGGACAAACACCTCAGGCACAAGCCGGCTAGACCCAAGATTAGGAGCATGAGGGAGCTCATGGACATTACCAATGACTACGCCATCAGCGAGGAGGCCATGCAAGGACATGGCTGAGTTCGGGCGCCCACGGTGCATCCGGAACCGCAAGCGCAAACATGATGAGCTAGATTCCGACCTCGTCGCCATGGTCGAGTACAATGCTCCGCGCAAAGGAGGCGGCTTCGTCAAGTAGCAGCAGCACACATGGCAACAGAAGGGCAAAACCCGAAGGAAAACCTATGAGGAAATCATGGATGGCCCTTGTAGCTACCACAATTACCTGGCAGCCCGACGATGCATAGGAATCGGGAGTGCGGCTTTAACGCCAGACTGGCTCCTGAGAACGCCAAGAATGATGCTCCCAAGGGTTGGAGGCGGCAAGCAATTCCCTCAGAATATTTTTTTTAGAATCACTGGGGGAGCTCCCCCACCTGAATATATTACTCAAACGTGTCACATGAAGTTGTGTTACAGAATTACAGGGGCACATTACAACGTGCAGAGAGGAAGAACTGCCACGAGGAGACGACTTCCTTGTCACATGTCCTAGAGAGCCTATGTGACCACAGGTCTAGATCAGAGATGGTGAGTCTAGAGGAGGAAGTGGAGCGCCTATCTATGGCCCTAAAGGCTTTTGTCGTTACGAGCTTCCTAATTTTTCCATAAGATTGCGAGTAATACGAAAGACCAGGCGCCGACAGGCACATGTGGGTGAGGCGAGGCATCCCAGAGGTCGTCGATGGAGTCTGAAACTGGTGTGATGCCCCCGCGTGGCCAAATGCGGGCGGCAAGGGGACATGCGATGAAGAGGCGGGAGGCGTCTTTGAAGGGCGCCAGGCACCGCGGGCAGGCATCATCGGAGATGATGTGCTTGTGGACGAGGTTGGCGCGTGTGTTGAGCCTGTCGCGGAAGAGCAGCCAAGCGAAGATCTTGATCTTGTTAGGTACCTTGGAGTGCCAAATAAGTGGTGCATTCCTATCGACGTCGGTTGACCGGACGAGTACATCATAGACACTCCTAGTGGAGAACGTAAGGCCCCTGATGAGAAAGCGCTGATCATGACAAAAAATCCTGCAACACAGCCAAAAGCGAACCAAATCGTGCGAAGCGGCAAAGGTTAAATGATTTCGCAGGGTAGCCTCTAAACCGAAACACACAATATTTGCAACCCTAATCATGGGCACCTCTGAGTGGGAGAAGAGGTTGGGGACTGTGGTAGCTAGTGGTTTTGGGGCGAGCCAGATATCATACCAAAAGTAGGTTGAGGTTCCATTGCTGGTAAGCACAAAGGTTATACTTTGTAAGGTAGGCATATGTTGGTCTATTGTTTTGCATAGGTAGGATATATTTGAGGTAGGGTTAACAAAAGCATTGGGGTGCTGCAAGCTTAACCAATCTAGCCAGGGAGCATTTTCAGGGAGAAGTGATTTCACAACGAACTTCATAAGTAAGCAAGAGTTCTGAACGTGCAGGTTTTTAATGTTTAGGATTGAATCTAGGACTGCTGTGATGAGAACTTAACATTTCTCGAGAATGTAAAGAATGTGAACATGGTCTTCTGTGTCCTCGAGTCCAAGCGGGCCCAGAAAATTGCATTGCCTGAGGTCAAAAAAAGAGAATAAAGGAAGCCTAAGCTAATATGATTCGAACTTTCAGAAGGCGCAAGTACTGACATGCCCCAGTGGCTTGATGGGTCCGACTTGGTGATCTCTTTTGACCGGTCCATTCACCCAGACTATATTCCCCACCCAAGGAGATCCTCCTTGGTTCTCGACCCGATTATTGGGGGCTACCAGTTGTTCAAAGTCCTGATGGATGGTGGCATCATCATAAACATACTCTATGCCGAGATGATGGAGAAGATGGGCATGTCGCTCTTACGCCTTTGGCCAAACTCCACTACTTTCCACAACATTGTGCACGAGAATTATGCCCAACCTTGGGTTAGATCTCCTTGGATGTTATTTTCAGCACCCCCGGAAACTTCCGAGTTGAAACGCTTTCCATCGAGGTCGTCCCTTCAAGGGCGCTTATCAGGCTCTTCTCGGTTGCCATACATACACAAAGTTCATGGCGATCCCATGGTACGTGTACTTAAAACTGAAGATATGTTGTGTCCCAACAATATAAACATGGTCATCGGCGATTTCGAACACTTGCATGATTGTGAGGTGGCCAATGTTGACCTAGCTAAAATCTGAGCTCGCCGCCGTCGAGTGTGTTGAAAGCCGGAAAATGATGGATCCATAGGGCTACTCTCTGAGCTAGAAGGCCAAGCCGGCCTTCGCTTTCCAGCCGGGCCAGGACACCAAGAAGTTTAAGGTGCACCTGATCGACACCATGATGAGCGTTGAGATCATCATCGACCTTGTAGTGCATAGGAAAGCGTGCTTGTAGATTTCCTCCGTGAGAATTGGGACATCTTCGCATGACATGCTTGGGATATCGGCGTACATAGCCGAGCACTCCCTAAACGTCATGAAGGGCATGGGGACCGTGAAGCAATCCCTATGCCAATCCGATGAAGAACGATGTAAGGCTATAGAAGAAGAGCTAGCCCGGCTTCTGGCGGTTGGGTTCATCCATGGAGAAGAAGTACACGTGGTGCATGTGCATTGACTCCTTCGGTCTCGACAAAGCCTGCCCCAAAGATCCTTTCCCGCTCGCCTGCATCCTACTCACTATCACCAGATCAGGATGAAGGGGTCGGATCAGGAGATGACCTCCTTCATCACCCCTTCTGGAGCTTTCTGTTACATCATGATGCCCTTCTGGCTCAAGAATGCTGGCACAACCTATCAGCGCACCATGCAGAAATGCCTCCACGACCAAATCGGCATCAATGTCCAGGCCTACATCGACGACATCGTGGTCAACACGAAGAAACATGATGACCTCCTAGCAGATCTAGCGTAGATGTTTGCTAACCCGCGTCGATTCAAAATGAAGCCAAATCCGGACAAATGTGTGTTCGCGGCCCTCGGGAAAACTGCTTGGCTTCATCGTTTCTTATCACGACATTGAGTCCAACCCCGACAAGATAGCGGGATCTCCAAACTCGGCAAGCCCGGGAACCTGAAGGAGGTCCGAAAGCTATCCCGCTGCATCGCCACCCTGAGTCTTTTCATCTCCCGGCTCAACGAGAAGGCTTTGCCGCTGTATCGACTCCTCAAGAAGTTAGACAAATTCGTCTAGACCAATGAAGGCCCGTTCTGCCCTAGACAACCTCAAGCTGATGTTGTCTAGTAACCTAGTCCTGGTCGTTCCAAAATAGAACAAACCGATGCTTTTCTATATCGGGTTGATCCTTAACAGACGATCCGACAGCGTCACGACGATGTCCTCATTGAGGTAGTCGGATCAGAAGGTGTTGAAAGTGCAGTGATGCTTGCCTCGCCTCCTCTAGATCTAGGTACAAGGCTAAGTAATGGTTACTAAGCAAAAGAGCCGAGCAGAGGTAGAAAACCAAAACAATAAATTTGGAAAGTCTTTTAACACTTGCATGACATGGCCAGTTGGGCTGCCTGGAGCTTGTCCCGCACCAACCTCACTCAGTATCGGCCTTCTTGGTGGTCTCCTTCAGGTCCTTGATCTCTGACTCCTGCGCCTTCTGTCGATCCATCCGATCCGCAATTCGATGCTTTGATCTTGGCCTAAAGGGTGTCCCGCGCCTTCTTTTTGGCCCGAGCAAGCCCCTTTAGCTCCAGGGTCATCGTTTGGCTAGCTTTGCTTTGCTTCTTCAGCAGCTCGGCGTGCAATGTACTCGGAGTCGTTGCTAGTGATGATTATGTCATCACCATATAGAAGAAGAGTCCGACCATGTGGAGAAAGGTGGGCAAACAGCGTAGGATCATCAACGGTTCCAAAAAATCCAACGACAGTAACCACAGAGGCGAAACTCTCAAACCAGGCACGCGAGGCTTTCTTAAGGCCATAGAGAGAGCGACAAAGACGGCATGCGATGTCACCAGGAACAGAATATCCAGGTAATATCTAGGTGGTGTCTGGCATGTAAACCTCCTCACACAACTCACCATTAAGAAAGGCATTCTTAACGTCAAGCTGAGATAAGGACCAATGGCAAACAGATGCCACAATAAGAAGTGTGCGGACAGGGGTCATATGGGCCATAGGAGCAAAAGTCTCATCGTAATGACGACCATGCTCCTGCTGAAAGCCACGAGCCACAAGACGAGCTTTATAGCGCTCAGGAGAATCATCGGAGTGAGTCTTAACCTTGTAGATCCACTTACAAGTGATGGGACGAACGCGAGGAGGAAGAGAAACAAGATCCCATGTCCCGGTGCGCTCAAGAGAAGCAATCTCCTTTGCCATAGCGAACTGCCATTCGGGATGAACAACAACATAGCCATAAGAAGTCGACTCAAGAACAACATGCTAGCGCTATAAAAACCATAGCGGTCAATAGGTAGAAGTGGGCAATGACGTAAGCCATAAGTAGGCCGAGACGAGGAGGATGGCACATCAGAGGTAGATGGCTCAGCAGTAGACTCATCCACAACGTGTGGATGATGAATATAATAGTGAGTAAAAGAGGGAAGAATACTAGGAGGAATCACCGGGATAGACTCAGGTGATGGGGACACGGACGGGGAAGCCACCGGGCATGAAAGGGCAGAATCCTGTGTCAAGCGAGATGAGGAAACCATAGGGAGATGGCGGCGTCGGATTTGCAATAGTCGGATAAGTAGGAGCAGTTGGATGCATGAAAATAACATCCACTGAAAGGTCGAGGAAGATAGGCGTGTCGGGAAAAGTGAAACAGGTGCCGCGACCGAACAAACCGTGCGGGAGGCGCGGGCGACACAGACCTAGAGGCCAGCGGCTGTTGTCCACACTTCCTTAACTCAACTTAGTCTGAGCTCTCTCCAACTTTAGTGTGAGTTGAGCTGAGCTTAGTCAAATACGCTTGAACTTAATTCGTTTGCAACCCTATGTACGAGGAGAGGAGAGAATGGATAGGATCGGTGGATGGTGGGGAAGAGCTACAGGCAATTTTCAGACGATAAACGAGGTGGGGGTTGGGGTGCGTGCGGCTTTTATGAAGGAAATCGTGAAAACTGTGTGGGAGGATGGGTTGGATGGGAGAGGACGAGAGGGGGAATGTGGAGGTCATGGAAGCGAACTTACCAACTAACCATGTTGGGGCTCGGGTGTGTGAGGTTTTTAGGAAGAAAATTGTGAAAACCGATTAACACTTTTAATGCGGGTCACATTTCCCTGGTGATGCTTGTTTAGAATCCTTCCGATGTAATTCTCTTGCGTGATGTTGAGGGCTGACCAACCCCTCTAGCTGTTCTGTTCACGGTTGCTTCCTCGCCCGCTTCGTATACCTGGGCTGTAGCCGTATAATTATATTCTATTTTTCCGTTCTCTATCTATCAATCCAATGATACGCAAGCTCTCGCGTATTCGCGAAAAGAAAAAGAGTAAGCTATGCTTAGTTCACTGTTTTTCTTTTCGCTAACCAGTCGTGGTGGTGCATTAAATATGGAAGCTACTAACAAGAGGAATATATTGAACCGCAGCTTATAGCATAAAAAAGAAACCATGGGCTTGTTATCATGTTTGGGTCTGCTGGTATATTTTGCTGACTTTGTACGTCTCGAACAAACAGGATGCGCCGGAATTCTGGATCACAAAGCAAGAGTATCAGGAAGAAGGTGTTGCCTGCCTGAGGAAGTGTGGACAAGCATAACCATATACAATATACAACCGTCCCACCCTTGTTATTACCGAATGCATATTATTACTTTAATTGGTAGAAATAATAGGACAAATAGTAATTACCTTGCCTAAGGAAGTTTTGTTGTTTGTCCTTTTTTTTTTGAACATCAGTACAAACACAAGTGCTCATATACACGCCCATATACTCACCCCTATGAACGCACATCCTACCCCTATGAGCACCTCCGAAAGACTGAAAGACTGAGCTGGGAACGTCTCCTCTCACTGAAAGCGCATCGCCGGAAATCCTGAAATAAATTCAGAAATAAATGCGAGCATCAGGATTTGAACACCATTGCCGAAAATCCTGAAATAAATTCAAAAATAAATGCGAGCATCAGGATTTGAACTATGGTGGGTTGTGGATACCAGAGTCCCTCTAACCATCCAACCACAGGTTGGTCCGCGTTGTTTGTCCTTTTGATCCTCGTGATTAATGTGTACCATATAATTCTTGTCGCATAAATAGTAGGACCGGTACATCTCAATTGCTGCAAATTTTGTTAATTTTTTATTGGATACTTTTTATTGTAGGGTAATTTTTTAACGTATATTTGACGTTGAAGGAATGGTATATGTGGAAAGGTTCGGATGATTAGCAACAAAACCGAATGAATGCGAGTGCGATTGAGAGACTTGTATGCACGTGTTATTCTTAGGCAATTTTAGACATGCATGTATACTCCCTCTGTTTCGAAATATTTGTTTTTCTGGAGATTTCAACAAGTGACTATGTACGGAGCAAAATGAGTGAATCTACTCTCTAAAATATGTCTACATACATTCGTATGTTGTGTCCATTTAAAATGCCTAGAAAGACAAATATTTGGGAACGGAGGGAGTATAAGTCTTTTTAGTTATTTCACTATAGACTGCATACGGAGCAAAATGGATGAATCTACACTTTAAAATATGTCTATATACATTTGTATGTAGTTTGTATTCAAATTCTAGAAAGATTTATATTTAGAAACGGAGGGAGTATAAAACAAAAGGACGCCGATAACTGCCACACGTGTGGTATATTCGACATGCGCCCACACACCGTGTGTGGTGTGAGCAGGAGGCAGCCCACACAAGCTGTGTGTGGGAGGATATTAGAATTGCCCGCACGTGTGGACGCGGCTACTTCGTGCCACACGCCACAAGTACTACTCATCTCCACCCCGCGCGTGTGGCACGAAGCAAAATGCCCACACGTCCTGGCGCAACTACGTCAGATACATCATGGGATGATGATTTAGTTGCCATCCTGATTGGCAGATGCAGTTGTCCGAGATGGCAAGTGTAGTTGTAAAAGCATGGCAACTCTATCTGTTTTGGTTAACTATAGTTGCCATGTCTAATTTATGGTAGTTGTCGCGTGTAATCAAACTGTAGTTGTCGTGTGTGATTAATTACTTGCCACATATGGTCAAACAGTAGTTGCCATGTGTGTTTATCTAGTTGCCACGTGTGGTCCAACCATAGTTGCCGTGTGTGATTAACTACTTGGCACATATGGTCAAACAGTAGTTGCCATGTGTGTTACCTAATTATCATGTGTGGTCCAACCATAGTTGCCATGTGTGTTTATCTGGTTGCCACGTACGCGCAACTGCAGTCGCCGTCTAGCAAAAAATCACAGTTGCCATCTGTGTTTATCTAGTTGCCATTCGTCTAACTGCAATTGCATCCACAACGTAGGAGTGTTGCATGGATGAAAAGTAGTTCGCCCACACGCGAATGAACTAGATGGCTGGCTGTGTGGGCAGAAACTAGTTCGCCCACACATCGCAACTGGCAAATAGTGTGGTGCTAGCGTGTGGGCAAACTCTCCAACGCCCACACACCAACCCCGTCCTATGTGGCACACAAAATCAACTTTTTCGTACCAAGATTCGTGCAAAAGGCACTGGACGACGATCGAGGCGTGTGGGCGAGTTGGGTAACGCCCACACGTGTGGGCGTTAGTGTTTCTGAAACAAAATTGATGATGTCAGCAAAGATCTATCAAAATGTTTTATAGCTTAAGCTCTCGGTTCGATTCAAAACAGTTTTCACATAAAATATTTGTCGTCACCTTTGAAACTAGATCGCATGTTGATATATTTTGACAACTTTTTTGGGGTAAAAAGCTATCACGGACGTCACCCATCGATCACGGACATCACCGCATCCATCAAGGAAGATGCGCGGAACTGGGCCAAGGCTGGGGCCAAGGGCTTGCTTAGAATCCTTCCGATGTACTCCCTTCGTCCGAAAATACTTGTCGCAGAAATGCATAAAAATGAATATATATAACTAAAAAAATCTAGATACATACATTTCTCCAACAAGTATTTCCAAACGGAGGGAGTAATTCTCTTACGTAATGTCGAGGGCTGACCAACCCCTCTAGCTGTTCTGTTCACGGTTGCTCCCTTGATCTCTTCGTGTACGTGGGTTGTAAGGGTATAATTGTGTTTTGTTTTTCTGTTTTCTATCTATCAATGCAATGATATGGAAGGGGAGCCTTGGCGCAGTGGTAAAGCTGCTGCCTTGTGACCATGAGGTCATGGGTTCAAGTCCTGGAAACAGCCTCTTACAGAAATGTAGGAAAAGGCTGCGTACTTAAGACCCAAAGTGGTCGGACCCTTCCCTGGATCCTGCGCAAACGGGAGCTACATGCACCAGGTTGCCCTTTAATACAATGATACGCAAGCTCTTGTGTATTCATGAAAAGAAGAGGAGTAAGCTATGCCTATGCTTAGTTCACTATTTTTCTGTTCGCTAACAAATCGTGCTGGTGCATTCAAATATGGAAGCTACTAACAATAGGAATATATTGAACCGCAGCTTATAGAAAAAAAAGGAAACCATGGGCTTGTTATCATGTTTGGGTCTGCTGGTATATTTTGCTGACTTGTCCGTCTGGAACAAACAGGATGCGCCGGAATTCTGGATCACAAAGCAAGAGTATCAGGAAGAAGGTGTTACCTGCCTAAGGAAGTGTGGACAAGCATAACCATGTACTCTCTTCATATCAAAATAAGTGTCTCAACCTTAATGCAAGTTTGTACTCCCTTCGTTTAAAAATACTTGTCATCAAAATTGATAAAAAGAGATGTATTTAGAACTAAAATACCTCTAGATACATCCCCTTTTATCTAGTTTGATGACAAGTATTTTCGGATGAAGGGAGTACTAAAGTTAATACAAAGTTTTTTTTGAACTTAAAGTTAGTACAAAGTTGAGACACTTATTTGAAAGGAAGGAAGTACAATGTACAATCGCCCACCCTTGTTATTACCGAATGCATATTATTACTTTAATTGGTAGAAATAATAGGACAAATAGTAATTACCTTTCCTAAGGAAGTTTTGTTGTTTGTCCTTTTGATCCTCGTGATTAATATGTGTATCATATAATTCTTGTCGCACAAATAGTAGGAACAGTACATCTCGGTTGACCGCACCAATCGACAGATGCTGCACATTTTGTTAATTTTCTATTGGATATTTTTTTTTGTGGGGTAATTTTTTACCGCATACTTGACGTTAAAAGAATGTGATATGTGGAAAGGTTCGATAGCAACAAAACCGAATGAATGCATGCATGCAAGTGCAGCTGAGAGACTTGCATGCATCGTGTTATTCTTAGGCATTTTTAAATAAAATCTTTACTGACATTATCAATTTTGTTTTATACACATGCCTGCCCTCAATTGGTCATGGCAGCTTTTGCTCCGTAGCGCGCACCATCATGTCCCCCGGCCGGCGCGAGGAGGAATGAGGAGATGTGCCAGCACACGAGGACGTACAACCAGCGGCAAACCACATCGTCGGGTGGTGCCACCGTGGGCGGCAAAATTTCGTGTTTTGACCTTTTTATGATATAAAACCGAGATCTGACCCTGTTTAATTTTTTTTCGTGATTTGACCATTTCTCCTACCGTCACGAGACCTGGCGGTAGGATCCTATAGCCTACGGTCAGCACCTGCAGCGGTAGCAAACTTATCCACGTCAGCAGCGATAACGGCCTTCGTGCCCCCTCCGTCACACCCTACTGCCGCTCCGCCTGGCGGTAGGATGTCTGAACCTACCGCCGAGGTCTCTGACGGTAGGGTGCAGACATATATAAACCGCGGGCCGGCCGCCCCCACC